ATTACTGATATAATAAATTGCAAGACGCAAGGATACGAAAAATACAGGGACTAATATAAATTCATAAAACCATAAGAGAGACTACAGCTAATTTTTCACCATTTATTAAATAACTAAAATTTGGAGATAATATGTAATTACAACCGATGCAAAATATCTATATTTATACTATTAAGTTTTTGAATTATTTTAATTTAAATATCTTCTTTGCTTAGGTCCTCTATGCAATACATTATAAATTTTCAACAAATTCAGATCGATCGTGACATGGAACATTAAAATACTGTCTCTATAAAAATGTACACTATTCGACCTAGTTCTACTTGCAGGACTGTACTATGAATGAGTATTCTTCGATAAAAAATGCAGTAAAAAATTTAAGTGAATAAGAAAAAAATGCGAAAATGATATACTACCGCGGTATTGGCTGAAGGACTGTTTCCAAATCCCTGAAAACAATTTATAAAGTTTATAAACGACTATTGTTTTGTCTTCTACTTATTTGCTGTGTGAAACGTTCTTTATTCTAAGCAGTGATGAATTTGGTCAAACGGTTTCCTATATTACGAATATTCTTTCACTTGTAGTTCTCGTTTATTTTATTTGTATTTGGTATTGTATAATCTCCAAATATATTTTCATTAACTCCTTCTCTTCGTTGATACTATAACTCAGTTTAACCCTAAATTAGGCACTTAGAAAATTTACAAATTTGCCTTCAGTTTTATATTTTGTAATTTTGACAAAATATAATAAAATTGTCATATAAAGACAATTTTTTATATTTCATGAAGTAAAAACAATATTCAGTAAATTGTTCAATGGGTTATGTGCCCAGGAACTGCCTGAGTACTTAAAAGGTTAGGTTAACAAATATTAAGAATGTAATTTAAAATTTATACAGGAGAGATCAGAAAATACAAGTTTTGAGTTCAGACAATTATATCATTCAAATTACTAACCTTGTAACTTTAAAATGCGGATGGAAAATAATCAGTCTATATTCATGAATGTATACTGCAATAGTGAGATCAATCATCACTTACGGGGCTATAGCCTGGAGTAACAGAACTAGTTTAGCTACTACGAGAGCTAATATCTCAAAAGTACAAAGACTAGCCTGTGTTTGCATCACCGGTGCAATGACAACATGGAGGCTGCAATTGAGGTGATCTTAAACTTAACTCCTCTACATTTGATGTAGAAAAGGACACGATATAGAATGATCAGAAACGGAGTAATCAGACGAAAAATATACTTGCTTTAGGACTAAAGATACCTGGGACATGCCCCAGAATAAAATGCTAAAGAAGTACAGTTTTGTGAAAAACTTCAAAACCACAGAGCTGGGCTGCAAGAAAGAATGAAGCCAAGAATCCATCGCGCTTCTAACCGAAAGACATGCTATTCAGTGGTATACAGACGGTTTCAAAATCATAGAAAGAACTGGAATAGGAGTGTTTGGGCCAAGAACCAAGCACTCCGAAATCTTGGAAAAATACCCAAATATCTTCCAGACGGAAATTCACGCCATCGAGAAGTATATCCAGTTTAACATCGAGAGAAACTATCATAGCCAAGCAGCCATCAAAGCGCTGAGCTCTTACGTAATCAGCTCAAAAATGTTCTGGATATGCCTAGACCAACTGAATGAGCTAGGCGAGAAAAATAGAGATACTCTCATTTGGGCCCCGGGACATAACGTGGTACTGGGTAAGGAGATTGCAGATAGTCTTGCAATAAAAGGGGCTCAAACACCGTTTGTAGGATATGAACCGTTCTGCGGTATCAGCAGTAACATAATATTGGGAGAGATTAAAAATAATTGGGCAGTAGAAGAATCGATAATTGGAACAATCTCTTGGGGCTGAGACAGGCTAAGATACTTCTGGGTGAATATAACCAGAAAAGATCGGAAGCCTGCATATGCCTGAGCAAGAACAGGCTACGTATTATAAGAGGGATCCTTAACGGGCATTGCGAGAGTAGTAGAGGATATTGAGTGCAGATTTTGTGAGGAGGAGGCGGCGGATGAAATCCCCATTCATATTCTAACTGAATGTGTAGTACTCCAGAATCCAAGGGCACTATACCTAGGGGGATATCAAATAGAAGAGCGAGATTTACCTAACTTGAAGCTACTCCAAATCCTATACTTCCTTGAAAAGATAGGATTGGAAGGGTCGTTATAGGCATTGAGACATTTGCTTGGTGCATTAGCGACAGAAGCGGACACAATAGATCGTTTAGGTCGCAGTGTATTAACACCCCATTCCCAACATAACATATCATCAGTCTATACTTGTAAATGTCTATAAATGATCACATTCAAGCAATAATACAAAATACTTCAAACATGTTCTAGAGTTAATATTATTGTCTATTAATAAAAAAATCAAGGTAGCAGTTTAAGTAAAGAGGAACAAAATAAACATAATACCAAAAGTGTTATAGAAGAGAAATAAAACTTCAACTTTTGTGAAGTATCTGAAGATGCTGATCACTCAGGAATCACGAGCATCCAGCCATATAACATCTACATGTACATAGATAAATGTATAGACAAAATAAATTGGATTATCAAAATCAGGAAGGATTACAAGAAATTATTTTTGAAACTTAAGCTAGGTTATAAGTGTTTGTTATTTTTTCTTTTATGTTTTTTATGTTTATTTAATAAAATTATTATCAAATTACCTTTACCCTAACCCCATAAGATCTGAGTTAACCAGCCTCTGATAACGTTAAACTAGTAAGGTCAGTTTTGTACAATAAATATATAAAAAAAAGAAGATAAAAAAAGATAATTTCTACAGCATTGTATAACAATTTGATTTTGGTCGTCTAGCAACACTGTTAACGGAGAAGTCGAGTAGGAGAATATAGGAGCATTCTCATTAGTTATAGAATAAGTATCCTGGAATAAAAAGCGTGTTTAATAAAACTAACAAAGGGCTTTAATAGAGAATACTAAGAAATATATTAAAAACTTTAAAGCTTCAAGAAATCGTTTTACTAAAAAAAACTTATTTAGATACCTATGTATTTTCGGGATTCCATAAATATTTTTATTGGCCTATCTATCAAGTATTTATGGTTATTTTCAATGTTTTAATACCATATCTCTACCATTTTATCAAATTTAGTGATTAATTATCTAAAATCGGTTAAACTGAGTTACAGTTGCATATCGAGTATCATAGTTAGATTAGCGTTTTCGATTTGATTAGCTACCAGTAAAATGCAAAATATTTTGTTAAAACAAACCAAACAGAACTTTTTTATTTTATGATTATTCTATTTGTATGTTTCAAAATGGTTTATAATAATTAAAAACAAAGAATATATTATTCGTGAATGAGTTAAAAAACTAAGTTCTACAAACAAAAGACATATTCGCAATACGATCCAAGAAACCTATTTGGATTCTTTCCAATTACATATATTTGTGTAGGTCACAGATCACCAATACTCAAACACGTGTGGAATGATATGATTATACTAGGACTGTTCTACTTCATAACTTCAGTGTTCTTTAATGTTAAGTTTAGTGTACAGCTACAACATAAACTAAATAACATCAATAATGACCTATATAACTAAAATGGATTCATTTTTAGAGGGTATTGATTCAATGTTTCAATTTTTTATGTTATTGGACAAATATAACAGAAATATTACTAAATATATATTTAGATCATTCTTTTTTATTTCTATAGTACATTAACGATACATATTCAACCCAGTGTATACAATTTTTAAAGATTACTATTTCTTTTGTTATCTAATTTAATTAAAAAGGAATCAGCTGTTTTTTTTTTCATTATCCCGCCAACTAGCAAGACTAGCCTCGTCAGTCCCTCAACTTACACCTGTACAGAAATTTTCTTTAGCATAAACTTTTTTTGATCACCTTAATATCAAAAACTATAAGAAATGTGAAGCTTATTTAGGTTAATTAGATGGAAAATTACCAAATTATGGAAAATTCGATTCACTACATTTTTCTGGTAACAAAATATGTATTTTATGATATGTAGATAGGAATATTGTTATAAAGTCCAAGAAAAATAATAAAAATGAAACAAATTAATACCCAGACACCAAAAATTCCTGAATGCTACAAAAATAAATCACAGTATATACATCATCTAAATACAAACACAACAAACATTCATGTATCCGACAATGATCACAACGAGTATAGTGTAAAGTAAAATGTACTGTGGAGTTAGCAGCAATTTTCCTAGTAATGTGGAGATTATTTTAAAAACACCCTATTCATGTGATAAAAGAATTAAACTTAATTAATTAACTATTTGCTGAACATAGAGAATTCTATTAGACGGGTATGGTAGATTACATCTAAATTTTTTACTATAAACCATTTACTCTAAAAATGTAAACTCTAATATACTTTTGCATCTACTAGGGGTTAATAATTCTAAATTACTTTGTCTTTTTAAATTTTAAGAATCATTTTTTTTAACCAGTCTCTACGAATGCATTGTTGATACTTGGTGATCTATTGGTGAGAGTCTGCTGTTTTATAAAAAAAATAAATAAAACCATTTCCATATTGTGATTAGTAAAAAAGTTAAATGTTTTAAGGTGATGGTATCTTAGACATAATTACTATTCTACAGTAAATTTTTACAAATAAGCTTTTATATTTAGAGATAATTGATTTAAAGATAAAAATTTAGAGGTAATTCCTGTCTTGTATTTAGATTTAGATTGCACAGTTGTATTTCAAGATTTGATGCTTTGTTAACTTTAATTGGAGCATAAGAATGTGATCTGTCTGAATTAACGTTTTTTTACTAACTTATTTATAGAGTACAAACTCAATAAGCGGCCATACGATATAATTTGTTTAACTTTTAAAAGTATCTTGCTTATTTTAATTGAGTTTAATTCTTTTATTGTATCATAACCATCCTGATTAACCCATTAATCTCAAATGTAATATAAGCAATATATTCAAAAATTATTCTTACCGGAATACCAGTTGGCTCCACCTGCCCGAACCTCGTACTCCGCCAGCTTTCCAAAATCAGTAAAGCACCATAAATTTTACCAACTGACATTTTTCCAGTATTTAGTTCTCTACTCGGAGGAACTAGAAGGTCCACCATGTTTTTAGCCTGGATGGGCCAAATGTTTTTGATTGTCTCTTTTAATTCATCGTCGGCCTGATCCATTTCATCCGCTACAATAAATACATTTATATTTAATTTTGTTTCGACTACTAATGGATCATGAACACATTTTGAATATAGTACATATTATTCAATATTATCATCTCCGAAGTATTACAATTATCAAAGTCTTCCGATGGGGTTTGACCTTTACCAACTCTTCACCTATCAAAAGCCTTTCCAACTTTTGTTCCTGCTCTACCTTGTGTCACCGTTATGAGTACCATCTCCAATGTGAAGAGCAAGGACGGTATGGTAGGTGCTATGAAGTGTCCATCACCGTTTTAATTTTTCCAAGTACCAGTATACAGGCTATTTTTATGTACTGATCTAATTCATTTTAAAATTGCTTGTTTAAAAAGGGCTTTCTGTATAATATTGTAATAATTGGCATTATTATTTAAAAATATAAAGAATATAAAAGAAAATTCTAAAATCGTATTTTTTTATGTTTTAACTTAATATTTAAAATAAAACGCACGTACTGTAATAAAACAAACAACTAGGTTATTACTCTAGTCAATGGCATACACTGAACTAAAGAATTATTTAAGGTAACACTACCAGAGATATGCTGCTTTACCAGGGAGCAACGCCGCTTTATCAGGAGGCAACACTGCTTTACCAGGGAGTAACGCCACGCCATCCTACCAGAAGAATAAATTGTATTCTAACACGATGAGAACAAGAAAGTTCCACTGAGCAAAAGGAGTATGAAGAAGTTATAGGATGGAGCTGAAGAATGTGCCAAATTCTAGGACTTCAGAATTCAAGGCTACAAAGAGAATACTACATCCAAATACAAAAATGGAAGGGGACCAACCAGTACCAACAAGCTCTCAAAGGGCATGAGACATACCGCCAAGGGAGCTTGACATAAAATTGGGTACATTTTGAGTCTGTAGTAGCCAAATCTACAGCGCAAAAAGGATGAATCCAAATGCAGAAACAAGGGACCAAAGATAATATATATGGAATGAACTAAAGTTTAAAGAGAGAGGACATTCCCAGTAGTAAGTCAATAGAGATTTACCAGTAGCAGCCAAGTACAGTAGCTGTGTACAGCAGCCATGAACAGTAGCAAGCCAGAGAAGCAGTCCAAAGCAGTTAGTCAACCAGAGGATCCAAAGCCACAGTCATTTAGAAAACGAATAGACTACGCAGTAGAAAGTAATTGTAACCTCAGCCAAAAGGGTTACAGAGTACAATAGTCTAAGCACCAAACCAGATCGGGAAGGGACAATTGCAGGAAAGTTAAGGATCAGGGGATGATGAGAGGTGACAGGCAAAGAGCAAAGAGCAAAGGGTAGTTACGGCCAACCAAGCAGTGAAACGAGCGTAAGGTTACCATATATATTGTTGTAGATAATTTTGATAATTTTTGTAAATTATTTACATTAAGGGTTTTAAAATGAATTAAACAAGTAGTGCATAGTAAAGTTTTGAGCAACTGTTTGTGTACTATAGGTAAATATCTTTAACTTATTTTAAGTGTTGTTGGGTTTTGTTTTGAGATCATTAACTGATTTACATATAAATGCCAAATTTTTCATTTTCCTCCAGAGTATTATATTTATCTTATATTTTATATCATTATAAAGTTAAAGTTTCCAGTGCTATTTTATTTGTTAATAAGTCCAAACTATATATTTCAATAGAAAGTTTATCTAGTTGTCATAAATCATAGGTATTTAATAAAAGTTTGGATATTCGTTTAGTGAGAACATTAGTGATGTAACTCAAAAATACTCGTTTTCGACTTATGTACATCAAAAGATTGCTTAATGTAGCCCGCAACTGGTACATAAATGGCGAAATTATAGTTCTTCTACTATTTCCTCGGTGGCGGTAGTCGTCAGTATTTTTATTTTCAACTTCGAACGCAATACTGACTAATGTAACATCGTTAATATTCATTTACTCGAAAAAAAAAAACTTGTTACATTACGACTTGAAAGATATTTAAAATTTAGAGAAAAAAAAATCGATAAGATGGTTCCAAACGTATAGCCAAAAAAAATAATTTTCGTACAAACTTCAACTGCGATTATCTCAGATCGCCATTTTCGGAGTTAGGTCACTAATGTTCTCACTAGGCGATATTATCAAATAATCCTTTATTGTCTGAATATAATTTAATTCATTTATTCTTGAAACTAGTACTCATTTTATACTTATTTTAAATATACATATATGTTACTGTTTTAATATTTATTATTATTCTCTTCTCCCCTTTTCAAAACCAGTTATGAAATATTCCGAGCATTTATGATGCCTCGGCCTTTTTACCCCTAAAGGACTAGAATGAGTCTATAACTAGTTGATGAAAGCCTTTCGACAATGTATTAAGGGATAATTTTATTTCTTTTTAATTATATTTTTTTATTATTTTTTTGCCACTGGTGAATGGATATTCTTTCTGGACTCTAGGACCTTTTTGGCTGATGACAGTGCTGCCTTCATCTCTTAGTAGACAACAACAATTAAAGACCTATCAGTTGTTACAAATTTTTAGTTTATTTTTTGATAATATTGCTGTTTTACTTTGTATCACCAATGTATTGTTTCTATTTATTAAGATTTGTTACTTAATTTATTGCTACCTTTCCTGTTAGGTCTGATAATGACCATAAGTCAAAACCGGTAGCCATTTTATAGTGTTAAAATGAATGAGTTTTGTAGTACAGTTACTTGTTATAATCTAAAAGAATACAGCTAACTTTGCAGGTTTGCTGTTATCTGCAAGCAAACTATATCTTAAAACCATCAAGTCAACTCAATTCGAAGAAGTTACTTACAACTCACAGTGGTAGGCATTAAAATTACAGAGCAAAAAACGTTGATGTTGTTTGCTGTCCTTCTAGGCACAAACTTAAAGAAGAAGCCTATCTAACCCTTCTGAAATATTATGGGGACAGATGTATCGTCGAGGAGACCTAAGCACTAGACATGTTGACAGAAGATCCAGCTTAACTACAACCAACGGTGATAAATTGGAAAAAGTTGTCAGTCAGAAGAATTGCAACTATCATTCTACAGGTAAACCTACTTACTGGCCTTCAGATTTCAACAACATTCCTGACCAGCTAGAATTATATTGTTTATGAAAAGTTTGATTTAGACTGTGGTATTTCAGATGTAATTTTAACCATGTGTGAAACTGTTATTAAAAAAGCAAACTGACCTACTCTTGCCAACAAAACTACTGAAAAAGCTTTAGAATTACCCTTCAAAACAAAACTTATCTAAATATTATATGTTTAAAAATAACTCAACAACTTAATGAGGAAACTAAAAACATTACCAAATGTGTTCAAATAGCTGCTTATAATAATAACAGAAAAATTACCCATTTAACAAAGGGAATAAAGACTACGCAAATGAGATCAAAGAACTTGTTAGAGAAAGAAAACAAGAGCAAGGAGAATCTAGAAATCCATCTATTAAGGTTATTTTAAACAGGAAAACTCAAAACTGGGAAGAGAAATTGAAAATTTTAAGGTAAAAACAACAAACTCATACCATATAAGTACCGACATGCCATACAAATTGTCAAGAATCATTTTGTTTGCACATACTATTTATTTAGATTTTAATATTTCAAATTACAAATGTGAACGGCAGGAGCAGTTATCATAAAATAGTTAAATAGTAAAAGATTAATTACAATTTAAGCCAGGTGGTACTTTAGATTGCATAACTGAACGCTTTGCTGTTTAAAAATATTTTGTAACCTGAATATATAGTGGCTATCTAAAAATTCCAAAAGACGATTGAGAAGGCCACTGAGACCATTGAGAGCAATAGAGGAGACATAGAAGAAATAAATAAAAAAATATCTCACCTGTTCTCATTTTGATACTGAGATTTTCTCTGACGAGTGCGAAAAACGTTGTCGTAAAGTTAACTTTTCCGTCGTCATCCACTGGCATGTTCATCCTAATTAGTTTTTTGTAAGCTAATCTATTAGGGCACTTATTTCCAAAACCTAGTGGAGGATCCATGTTTTTCAGCATATCGTACATTTCAGTATAATGTATTTTTCCTCTAAAAATCGATAAAAATTTGTTAATTTATAGGTAATATAATCTAGTATATTATTTTGATGGTATTACAAGAATTTACTTACGTAGCATTTGGATCGTATTCTGCCCATATTCTGACAAATTCGTCCAAATGATGAGCACCTAATATGGAAGGATCTCGTGTTAAGTAATCAAAATTGTCCATAATAACGGCTACGAACAAGTTTAACATCTATAAAAAATAAGAAAGCAATAATAAATACCTATTAAAAATAAATGTTAAAGGAAGTGTTATAAAGTGCCAAACAAGAACTTGACATGAGGGTTTTGAGTATTAATATCGTGGATGTTAAAAAAATGTTTGGACAGGTCGATTTTAGTTTGGAGAAGGACCCTTTTTTTTAATTATAGCATCGTTACTTCAACTCTTGATCATTTTAATAAAAAGGTAATTTGATGGACAATTCGTCAATTATATTATTTATTACATTACTTTTGATTTTAACGCCGTCTACCTTGATAAAAACTTACATATTGTTATATGTGATACTTTATTTGAAAGATAATTTTATTGCTAATTTAATGCACTTTTACTTTTTCAAAACATTTCTTCTAGTTCTTCTTCCTTTTTAATTTACTTTTCATTCATCGACAGGGTGTCTGTCATGTATTGATCATGGTCCATCGAAATTCAATCCTATAGTCTAGCATGGCTAAAGAGTCAGAGCCCTTCATTCTACTATTTAAATTAAGTTGTAATAGTATCCCAAACCAACTATGACTTGGTTTCTTTGGACCTCTGAATTGATCATTACACTAGAAACCAAGGATAGCCCTCAACCTCTTACTACATTATTTATGTTTGATGATTCTGTACTTTTGATGAGTCTGTACAGTCCAGTTTGGTTGATTTCAGAACCACCCATAAACATTTTTCTCTATTTGTCAAGTCTGTTTATTATGTCTTATCTCTACTACAGACAAAGGACACGTGACAGGTTACAGACCTGTCACGCCTCGCAGGCAACGATCTATACATTCCAATTATACTTTTCAATATAAATTATTAATATGTCACTTAATCAATGGTTTAAGCTGTAGTTTGTTGACCATAATCACCCTTTTTGGCATGTTTGTTATAATTTTAATTTCCAAATGTTTTTATTCGATTTAAGATTTCCTTGTGGTATCATCTAGTAGACGTAAGTTTTGTAATTTTTTCTTTTAATTAATTGTAACGCATAATACTTTTTAGGAAGGCTTTGCTGATGACTTTATGAGCTAAAAGCGTTCCAGTAAAATATTAAATAAAAATGTCAATGTTCTACACACTGATTTACTTATTCGATTCTTTACCTTAAGCATATTTAATTAAATAAAAAGTAGAAAAAATATCTTACCAAGAACGAACAGAAGAATATAAAAGACACAAAATAGGCATAGGCTATATTGTGACCACATTGGGTCCCACTTTTTCCAGAATTCGAATCACAATACCTGCCTCTTATGCAAGATAACATAATGCTAGGCCAATTTTCACCTGTGGCACATCTAAAAAAGACGAATTAAACAATTTTTAAAAAATATATTAGTTTATTTACAAATTAATATATTTTTTAAAATATATTTAATTAATTTGTTTGGTATAATTTACATCTTTTTATATTTCTTTTTTTTATAAAATTAGTCTCATCTGGGCTATTTAGAGAAAACAATGTATCACATTCCTGACCACTAGTTTTTAAAAGAATAAATTAAGTATACAATATCATACCTGAATAAAAGCATTAATCCTTGAATGAAATTGCGGAAATTATTATGTCTATCGATAGAAGTCTCTGGAGAAACTTCAATATTTCCAAATACCTAAGAAAAAAAACAAATTAAAACCATTTACTAAAAGTAGTTAAGCAGCACCGATTCTATCGCAAAATCGACCATTTTTACATGTAAATCTCCATAAGAAAATCTAAGGTCCAACGTGGTAATTTTTAATACCAAAATTCCAGTGGCATACTAGAACAAATTACCCCTTATTAAAATTTATTTTAATTTTAAAATATCAGGAGAACACTAGAAAAATACCCTTCTTTTTATACTTTATTTTTATATTTAAATTATTAGAATTTAAAAATAACACATTTGTTTTAAATCATTTATTTTTCTCATACATAATTAAACAGTTTAATTTTATATAATAACATGTTAATACAAAGTATTTAATTAAATCCAGTTGGAACTTCTGCCAAGCTGTAGTGTCCCCATAGTAAGGTATTATAAGATTCGGGTACCAAGTAGCGTTTATCATCGTAGGGGCTAAGGGCGATTTTCTGCTGTAAATGTCTTCAAACAGTTTACATATCCTTTAAACGTTATTATAGTATTAACTGTAGATTTTTTCATGCCCTTTGCTTTCTTAATTAATCCAACATTAAAAAAAATATCTTCAATTTCATCAGTCATATTCCTCTTCTGTTTTAAGCATCTTCAGTTTTAACAATTTTTACAGTATATAATTTCGAACGAAGACCAATTAAATCAATCATTGGTATACCATTGTTCTCATCTTTCATTATACCTATTACTTTTTTAGGAGGAATTTTGTAAACCACTTTATAATTTTATATGGATCATAATCTCAAATTTCATAGATTAGACTGTCCGCTTCCGTGTATAAAATGGAAGAATTATTATTTTCAAATTCACTTTTCATGTACTCATAATGGAAGTCATAAATAGTTGTCTTAGCCAAATCTAAAATGCGCATTCCAATAAAAGGTTTGTTTAAAAATATCGCTGTTGCTAGGTACACGCTAAAGTGTACACATATAAAAAATTATATACACGCGGAACGTCATATTGCTGTGGTGGGAGGTGTTTGTGTGAATGCGTCTCGTTTGTTTTTATTTACGCCGTAATTATCAGCTAGCAGTAGTATTTTATAAACCTTAGAAGCAAATTTCACATGCATGAACAAATAATAATAATGCCGTGACAACAAGAAAACGAAGCAACGAATTCTCGTAGGGTGGCGGCTTCGCCACCACCAGAAACTTTCAATCCATATCTGGCTACACCGACCGGCAGCTCACCTACTCTGTCAAGACGTTTCGCGTGTATATAACTTTTTGAATTGCGTACAAGTTAGCGTGTACCTAGACACTGTGTAAAAATATCTCTATTTTCTGTAATTCTATAGCTGCTTAATTTTCATTGAATATTGTACATTAAATTCAGGTTTGCCATTGCTGAATTAATTTCACATTTAGATATTTCCTTACACTTTCAATACTTTTTCCAAAGATGGCGTTGTTCATAAGTTTATAAAAGTTCTTCTCAAATTAATTTTTCGAATTTTTCTAAGTTTAGTATTAAAATCCATATAAATCTTTAACCAAGGGGACAATTTTTCTTAGCTTTAATCCATATTTTATCGCCTGTTTTAAATTTTTATAATGGATCACGTATTTTAATTTGTTTTGTAATGTTGCTATTAATTTAGATTTCTTTGTACATGGTCTCAAAGTTGCAGAATTAAGGTGTTCCGGTAAAAAGGGTAAATCCTGATGAACGTTGTGAAGTTATTTCGGATATTCTGTCAACTTCTAAAATATACCCTTCAGGGGAATGGTCACGTATTACTTTAATATTAATATTAGTATCCACCCATTTGAACCCTACATAAGGTAGATAATGCGACATCGCTCATCCATACTGATTGTTACCTTCATAGTACATCAAATATTTGGACGGCTTTGACACATTAAAGTGGGGTAAGTACTTGTTGTTTGCATGGGCTCTTCTTTTTGAGCAAACCTGACTTAAACTTCCACGTATTTCCTTTTCAATAAAGAGAAACATATCTTAATCAGTTAGCAGTTCCAGTTTTTGACCAGTTAGTGTTAACATAGCATCCCAAGTATATCCAGGTAGGGTATAATAATGTGCTGGATCTAAGCCGTAACTTTTATGAGAACTTGGTCTAAATTACTCATAAACGTCAGCTAAAAGCAAAATATCCGTTTTCATGTATATGTCTACGTAATCACCAAGGTCATGATACAAAAACTTGCTCTAAATATCCTGGACACGAAGGTATATTCTATGAGAACATGGCTTGTTTTCTAATGTATTATAGAATGCATCGATTGGAGGTAAACATGTTTCATTAAATTTTTCAAATGAATCGAAGTAGTCATATGGCGTTAGGGCGACGAAACAATGATATCAAAACCTGAATTTAAATCATGTACAATATTCAATGAAAATTTAGTAGCCATAGAATTACACAAATTAGAGATATTTTTAAACAAACCTATTTATATTGGAAAAGGCATTTTAGATTTGGCTAAGACAACTATTTATGACTTCCATTATGGGTACATGGAAAGTAAATTTGAAAACAATTGTTCGGATACGGACAGTCTTATCTATGAAATTCGAGATCATGATCCATATGAAATTATAAAACGTGATTGTACGCAATATTTTGATACTTCAGACTATTTACCAAACACCGTTTACGGAATTCCTCAAGTTAATAAAAAAGTACTAGGTATGACGAAAGATGAGAACAATGGTATACCAATGACTGATTTTATTGCTCTTCGTTCGAAATTATATACTGTAAAAATTGTTAAAACTGAAGATGCTATTATAAGGGTGACAGTACGTCTTAAAACAAAAGAAGAATATGACTGATTAAGTTGAAGATATTTTGTTAAATGTTGGATTAATTAAGAAAGCAAAGGGCGTGAAAAAATCTATAGTTAATACTATAATAACTTTTAAAGATTATCTAAACTGTCTAGAGACATTTACAAATAAGATTATTTCGCAGAATTTAATTCGTTCAGATAAACATCAAGTTTATTCAGTAACTCAGCAGAAAATCGCCCTTAGTACCTGAATCTTACAATACCTTACCAAGGGGACACTTCAGCTTAGCAGACGTTTCAACTAAATTTAATTAAATACTTTGTATTAACATGTTTTTATGTAAAATTAAACTGCTTAATTATGTATGAAAAAAATAAATAATTTAAAACAAATATGTGATTTTTAAATCCTAACAATTTAATTATAAAAATAAAGTAGAAAGAGAGGGGTATTTTTCTAGTCCTCTTCTGATATTTTAAAATTAAAATAAATTTTATTAAGGGGTAAATTGTTCTAGTACGCCACTGGAATTTTGGTATACAAAATTACCACGTTGGACCTTAGATTTTCTTACGGAGATTTACATATAAAAATGGTCGATTTTGCGATAGAATCGATACTGTTTAACTACTACTAAATTATATTACATTATTCGTTCTTCTGCTCCCAATTTTTATCTACAATATTAGTATGTTCTCAATAAAAATTAATTAAGACACTTATGTTTATCCTAAATTATTGTGTAGGCATTTTAAGTTAAAATTACTAAATAAGTTTATTAATATATAACATTAAGCAATTCAAGAGAATGCCATTGTTCCTTTAGGATTCACCAGACAAACAAAATAGCTGGTTGTTTTTTACAAAGATGTAAATTATGTATACTTACTTGCATTCCAATAATGGCATAAATGAAGAAGAGCATGGCTATGAGACCACAAACGTAAGGAAGTGCCTTGAAACTCTGAACAAAAGTCCAAAGCAAAATTCTTATTGTGTATCCTTGACGAAGTAGTTTTATCAATCTCGCAGCTCTAAATAGTCTTAAGAAGCCAACATTAATGAAATTTTCCTGAAAACATCCATTTGAATTAGAAAATGTTTATCAAACAATATTTTATTTAAAATCACGTCTTATTTAGTTACGTAAACGTAGAAACAGGTACCCAATTAAAAGAAGAGTTATAAAAATTATTTGTTTTCTTATTGGGATAGAGAACATATAAGATAATACGTCGAAGACCATATAACAGAATGTAGGACGACTTAAAAAGATCACGATGAAGTGGGTTGCAGAAATAATCAGTGGATGAAACAAAAAGCTAAATGCTGAAAGTAAAATCATCACGGTTAAAAATTAATTTCTCTTATCGGCTTAGGAATTCTTTATAAATGATTTAATTAATTTATAAAATTAATTGCTATAAATGTGGTAGAATAGATTATTTATTTAATTTCCTACACACACATTTTTACTAGTGATATACTAGCCCAGCAAGTAGAGACGTACAAACAAAAACATTTTACATTCATAAAACATTTTTTAAATAATGAAGCGAATGAATCGAAATTAAAAAATTACGTAAAATAATATAGGGTTGCAAACATTTTTAAAATGGCAAACAACTAAATAAATTGAAAACTGGAAGATCAAAAATGTAACATAGCTGCAAATTTAATACGGATAATTTGTATTTTATGTGTGCCATTTAGGACTTCGGCAAAGTAATTAATTACTTTTAATTGACATTATTTGAATCTCATTATATTTCCTGTAGGTACTTACTTCCTATTTGCTCGATGTGCCAGGTTATGGGCTGTCATAAAATATCAGCGTCTTACCTCTAGAATAGCCAGCTATCTTCCGCGCAAAAGTTAGTATACAGTATCGGCTATTGAACGCTTTAAAATGCAGTTTGCACGAGTGCATGAGAAAACTATAGAGAGTTAGCATTATAGCGAGCAGGAAACGAATAATATCAGCGATGCCAGTTTATACCGCCCGGCCAAACTAAAAAAGGTCGACACCTTTCATTTATAAACCGACTCCTGCTGAGCATTTAAAAAAAATGTCGACACCTTTTATTTATAACTCCTGCTGGTCGAGCTTCTAGAAAAACAGGTCATTAGCTCATAATGTATAGCCCCCATCCTGCTGATCAAGTCAGCTTAAATGCAAATTTGTTACTGAAAAGAAAAAAATGTATAATTTGACGTAAGCGGGCCAAACTGGTCAACAGCCGCGGGCCGCCAAAACGACACTGGCGGACCGCATTCGGCCCGCGGGCCGTATGTTGTGCACCCCTGCTCTAAGGGATGGTACAAGAATTGTCCGGTAGGAAAGAATACGATATCCACTTGGTTTAAGTCGGCAGCATCTAATATTGGTATCGACATAAAAAGAAAAAAGTGACAAATCATTCGGCCAGAGCGACAGATGTTTCTAACTTAGCTAAAAAAGGAGTTAGTGAGCAGCAACTTATTAAAATAACTGGACATAGCAGCAGCCAATCAATTAAGCCATATCTCCAGTTAGATTCTGAACATCATCAAAATATAATTGAGTCCATGAGAAGTAACTTCCCTAACACCTCTTCGACAACCGTTTTTCACAAATCAGTTGAAATTAAACACAACACGTTTTCTGAAGATTCAAATCACCCAACAAATAATTATAATAACTGTATTTTCAATATTACCAATAATAACAAATAGAATAAGCTAAAAATTAAAAATAGTAATATTAATTATTTTAATAATTATAATTTTGTATTGAGACTAATAAATAATACTAATGTTTGTTTGAAGTTATTATTATAAATAAAGTTTTGCATAATAGAACAGGTGGACCTTATTTTTTTTATAATTCAAGTGTTATAATTGCAGGTACAAAGTATCTAACTAAAATAGTAAAAATAATAATGTTCTACCGATTTTAGTTTAATAAATTTAGCAAAAATTGTTTCAGACAAATTTATTTTACAGTTATAACCTAAGTTATGTTCACTAAAATTGTTTTCTTCCATTATTCAAGATAATAATTGTAATTACAAAGTATCTAAATAAAATTGTGAAAATAATAATGTTCCACCGATTTTAGTTTAATAAAATTAGTAAAATTTATTAAAATAAATTTATTTTACAGTTATAACCTAAGTTATATTCCATAAAATAGGTGAAACACTGTTTTTCTTTCATTATTCAAGTGTTATAATTGGTATAAAGTATCTAAATAAAACTACGAAAATATTAATGTTCCACCGATTTTAGTTTAATAAAATTTGTAAAACTTATTTAAAATAAATTTATTTTACAGTTATGTTCACTAAAGTAGGTGGAACGTTTTCTTTTAATTAATTTGTACCTAAAATATGCTAAGCTGTAATTGCAGTTTCCAAATACCTGCATGAATCAAATAACAGCTTAGGTGGCTTTGGAAAAATTGTAGACAATTATTTTGCTGACAGTTTAACTCACTGACAGTGCAGAATAATAACCTATAACTTATTAAAAAATCTTGGTAAATCGAATTACTATGGAAAAAGTTAAAAAATATACATTATGCAAACATTGTGAACAACTCTGTGATCTCAAAGTGTATCACACAAATTTAAAATATTTATCGTACCTCATTGATGAATGTAGTTTGGAGTGCAGTTTACAAAATCCTGAGGAAAATCTATTTAGTACAATACAGAAGAATTTTCTCGGATTTGTAAAGTTAAGTTTAACCGAATTGTTTCAAAATATTATATTTATTTACTTAAGCATAGACATTTAGTTAATACGAGTGTCCTTTCTTACTCATCACTGAAGAAAGAAGATTTTTTAATTGATTTTGAAAAACATTTAATAGATGTAATTAATAATAAAGAAATTAAAAAAAAAAAACCAAAAGAATTAGTAATTGTTTAATTTTGATTTGCACAAAAAGTAAACAAAAAGTCTTATATGAATCAAGCCCATTAAAAGTGTCATTATTTTGATATAAAAATTTCCACTTATTAATTTCGTCCAGGGTACCCTGGAGGATGAAAATTTCCGGAAATTTTTTGGGTTACCATGGTAACCAAATAAAAAAATAGACTCTGATTGGCTTAAAAATGGTGGTGTGAAATTTTCAATAATATTTGAAAAACTCATTGAGAAAGCTTCATCTGATTACTACGTCAGTTTATTTAAAATTTATTATAGTTAATCAAACATTTAACATCGTTAAATAATGTAAATTTACTAATAATTTATTGTGGCTAGATTAGATTAGATTTAATTAGGACTATGGGCCATGTGGCCTCCCCCACCTCGACCTTTTCAGATCTAGTGTGGATATCCTTTAATCATTGTTTAGAGTACCTTGTCTAATTCGGCCTTTTGTAGTAGACTCCATAGACTGGGAAGTAGTTCTACGGTATAGCTAGTTGCCCTTGGTTTTTCTTTTCCAAGTGTAAGGAATCTCAGTCTTACTAGACCTTCGCAGTAGCACAATACGTGTTCTGCTGTTTCCTCTTCTTCTTGACAGAATCGGCACAAGGCCTCTTCTGTCAGACCGATATTGAACATATGTTTGTTAAGCCTACAATGCCCTGTTAATAGACCTACTAGTATTATTGTGGCTAAATAAGTTTTTATACGCCTATGGGACGAACCTCTCATAAACAAATTTCCCAGAGTTAATTTGTGAAATGAAGAATAAAATAACCGGTTTACAACTTTTACAAATATCGATTTTCTTATTGTGCGGTCGTTAGATTTCACATCTCGTATGAGAACGACTGCATTACTACTGTTAAGAACACCGTAAACACTGCTACAATATTCAATCAGATCAGAGATAACAAGAGATTTAACTACCAACAAATATCGTGCGGTCCTGAATAAGATATATTCTAAGGGACACAGGAGGGTAAAATATCCGCTGTTGTCATATGCCTGTTTCATTATTCTCGTTTTGTTTACAAAATTATTTAGATATAATAAAAAAGCTAAAATAATTCAACCTATTTTATTGGAACTGAACCCAAAAATTTTTGATCCATTAGTTATATTGAATTTAACTAAATTAGATGTAATAATTTTAAATAAATTCCAAAACCTACTTATGTTAGGTTGGAAGTGGCAACAGGGCTTACACTGGCATGAATATTTACGTTGTTTGTTATAAGCGTACAGCGACATACACATTTATTTATTGATAAAAATAAGTTGTATCTGCGTAAAATTCTTCTCTTTATCCACTCTCTTAATTCTCACCTTTCGTCTCCTCACCGCGTCCCTACAAATAGAGTGTATCGATTGTCGAATTAAGCTTGGCATCATAATTACTATATTTTATCAATGAATGAATGTGTTATCTCTGTATTAGATTCTTGTATTTCTGCCGAAGACGCTTATCGTTGGCTTCAGAAATTTTGTAAACAATCCTATCTGTCTTGGTTATATATCTTTGGTTAATATCTACCCGTTCACAATTTGAAGTTAAAGTTATTTGATTTTTTATACAGGGTGAGCTATACAGCTATCCATCAATAATAAATGTATTTTAAAATAATTAAAACGAGACCTTGCAGGTCTTTAGTTACTTTTGAGAAAGTTAATATCATTATTTTATGTATGTAAACATAAGATTTTAAAATATACCTTACAGGGTAATCTAGCTGTTATATAATTACAAAATATATCGGTATTAGTGAATTTCTAATGTCTTCATGGAAAACGATGTCAGCCTAATTGGTTGGTATGTTTTTGGTAAAGTATAATTCATCCATCCAGATTTGGGTATAAAGACTATCTCTCTCTATATTTTTGGGGATATACCAAAAATGATAGTTGCAAAATGAAAGCAGTGATTTGTAAGCAATAATTACATATTACGCCAAATCATTATTGCATAAAAAACTCCTTGAAAATTAAAAAAAATGCATTTCTTCTTCATCGGAGTGAGTTCCAAATTCTCAAAGACATTTAAGGAGATATTAGCGAGTATAATGTGATTTTTCGAGAATGTTATTATTTTGCTTGCTAAACGAGATAAAATAATTTTAATTAACAGCAATTAATTACTTTGTCGAAGTT